TGCTGAGAGTGAAGCAGGAAGAGGAGGAAGAGGGAGAAGAGGGCAGGGAAACAGGACATTCTTACATAACCACAGCTGGTATAAGATAGTTCTGTGCTCTCTGAACCTGGTAGGCATTGCCACCACTCCTTCTGTGGGTCACTCCTTTGGGTCCTTAGGAGCCTTCACTAGGAACACTCTGCTCTACCTTCCATAATGAGGTTCTTGCATTCTCCTCCTGGCCCTCCTCAAGGCCAAACAGCCATCCTCAAGGCCAAACAGCCATCCTCATCCTGCTGCTGTCACCTCTTCTGAGCAGTTCTCTTATTGGAGTTTACAACACCTCCAGCCTGGCTCTCTTTATCTCTTTACCACACTGGTGTGTGCTGGCTTTGTTTGAAAGGTGTTGTCCTCTTGCTGGCTCATTGCCTTCCATTTTCAATCCCTCAGGTGTGTGTCAGACACCAGTCCACTGTGTCCACCAAACTCCAGGGGTCATCCATTAATGACCCTCCTCCAGGTCAAGCCATCTTTTGGCTAGAGGCAAGATCTTACTTTACTTCCTCCCGTCCCCCTCAGGTAAGGCAAGGGCAGTTGTACCCACAACACAGCTCTCTCCAGAGAAATCCTTCCTAATCCTCCTTTTCAACTCTTTTATAGACACACTGGGTTTCAGGGTTATCTGAGAGATTCTTGGTTCAGAACCTTTCGAGACATGAGTGGTCTCAGAGTAGTCTATCTTCCCAATCCACTTTATATCTCACGTCTATCAAACAGTAGTTCCTCCACCAATACCTCCATTTAACACCGTGTTGTGAGTCTCGTGGTGGAAACTGAGGGAGTTTAAGACTGAGAGTCCGACTTCTTTTCAGTGAAGTAAGTCACCATCTTCTGTTGAGGGTGGGAGAGGAACCAGGTGGGAGGCTTAAGAATCACCAAGATGCTTTGTCAGTTGCTCTTGGGAGGAATGGGCAAAGGAGCTCACTGAAGACAAAGACAAGGATAGAGGGTGACAGAGGCTCCCCTGAAGGAACAGACCACACATCTGAGGTGGAGTGGGGTGTGTTCTTCTTTAACAGCCCTGTGTGAGGGAAAATCCAGGAACAAGGGACCTGGGTTCAAGATTTTGTCAAATAAAAGCAGCCAATGGTGCAACCTGGAGAAATCCTGAAGGGGAGCTTTTGGGGGCCTAGGGGACAGATAAAAATATATATGTATATAAATTTGCAAAACACGATCTCAGCCAGTATTTTGGAGTTTGTGTTCAACCATTCTAGAAAACCAGACAAAGACAGAGTAGGGAATATAAAATGTCTCTCATAAGCAGGCACCAGGCAGGCTGGTCCCTGTCTGCTGGGAAGAAAGGGACAACTGAGATCAGCAGATGTGTCACTGGGTGACCTTGAACTCCAACCCTGGGCTTCTGTTTCTCATGTCAGAAAGTACAGAGACCCTGGCCTCCTCGAAGAGGAACTTTATCTCATTTCACTTCTTTTTTATTTTTTAATGCCAGAAGGCACATGCATGTAAGGGAGAGAGAGAAAGAGAGAGAACTCCCAACAGGGCCTGGTCACACTGCAATCCTTTATCCTCTAATCAGGCCAGAGCAGGAACTCGAACCCTGGTCGGCCCTGTGGGCCCTGGTCGGTCCTTTGTGCAGGGTTTTAATGCCTGGACCATGGAGCCAGCCTCACTTCACTTCAGTTTGTACTGTAGTTCTTGAGCACCAACTGCACATCCAGTAAAATGCTCCGATGCTGGGTGTGTGGGAACTGGGAGGACAGAATATGAAGTAAGAAGGAGTTGTGAGAAATTGAACCCAGTCCTTGCCCTCAAGTGCTTTAAAAGATGCAAAATCCTTCAAGTTCTTAAGATGCTGCCCAGGTATAAGGTGTTACTGTCCAGTGATTATTATTATTAATTTTTTTTTAGAGAGAGTCTTTTTTTTTTTTTTTTGCTATAGGGCACATGTGCTCATCAGAGAGAGAGAGAGAGAGAGAGAGAGAGAGAGAGAGAGAGAGAGAGAGAGAGAGAGAGAGAGAGAGAGAGAGAGAAAGTGAGAAATTACTCCCCCAAGGGGGATGGCCATACCGCAATCCCTTCTTCATTCTCCTCTTAGGATTTTGGCACACATGCTCCTAATGTGAGATTTTTTTTTTCCCCTGGGGGGGTTCCTCTTTTTTTTTTTTAAGAATTTTTTTTCTAATTTAACATTATTTATTTATTTATTTATTTATCTTCATTTGACAAAAGAGGGACAGAGTGAGAGAGGGGGGGGAGTGGAAAAGCAAGCCTCCAGGTCTGGGACTCAAACCGTGATTGGCTATGTGGGAATCCAGCGCCCTTAACCACCATGCCACCTGTTGGCTCCCCTAGTGTGAGTTTTAAACCACCAGTTCTGGGACTCGACTACATGGGAGTCCAGTGATATAAACATTATGCTGTCTGCTGGTCCCAATGTCAAGCGATTATTTATTTGCATGTCACTAGTGAGGACAGTAACACCAGCAAGGTGGCCATCCCTGATTCTTCCTCCAGATAGTTCAGGGTTTTCTCTGAGCTATGAGGTGTCTTGGTTGCTCATCAGAGCTTGGGCAGCCACGCCCCAATGGGAAGGAGCATTTCCGGCAGATTCTGGGGTCCTTCCTCCCAAAGGCAGGGGCTTAGACGTCAGAAGCCAAGACCAAGACCAGCGTTCTCCCTGTGCTCAAGGTCAGCCGCTCCTGGGAGGCTGACCAGGCAGAGCCTGGGCATGGGGACAAGTGGCACCCTCCAGTCTTAGGTGGCGAGCCTCACAGTGCCAGAGCAATGCTGATGAATGACAGAGGCATGGGGTGGGGACACAAGCTCCCAGGCCCTCCTGCCACTCCTGAGGCCAGGGAAGCAAGGAGCAGAGAGACAAGGGACAGCACTGGTACCTTTTATCCTGTAAAACAGACACTCCCAGGACCTTCAGGAGTGAGGGAGACCATCCTGACCTCCCCTGCCTGTGCTGTGTTCTGGAAAAGGGACAGAACAGAACGACCTTCCCCTGTGAGGAAGACCTTGGTTCCTTTAAATAAATAGAAATAAAGGTGACGGGGTGCCAGGTACAGCAAACGCTCGAGATGTGGTCCTTTCTCCCACTCTGAAATCATTAGACATCAAGCCCAGTGGTCCTGGTAGTCTTTGAAAGAACCCAAGGCTACAAGGGTATTGTCCAATGCAACCTCCTGCCTGCATTCAGGTAAGATGCATCCACCAGCCTGTGCTGAGCGGCTCAGCTGCACCAGGCCTCCAGCTAAAGAGGGTCAGACCCCAAGCTCAAGGAGCCCACAGTCTATAGGGGAGACAGAAAGGGAGGGGCACAGTCCTGCAGCTCCTTGCAGAGGGGCGCTCAGATGCAGGGGAGTGGTGAGCTGAGGCTGCCTTCAAGCCCTGCCTTCTCTCAGCTGTGTGATCTGGGGCGAGTTACTGAATCTTAGTTCTCGTCATAAAGTGGAGCTAACCGTTCCCATTTCATAGGGTTATCTAGAGGATGGTCATGTCTGACAGAGTCTGTCTCACACAGTGCCTGGCCCATTGTAGGAGCTTGTTAACTGTTCCTAGAACTACTCTGGGGAAGAAAAGACTCTGCCCATGGGACCAGCAGTTAGCATAATGGCTATGCTGCTGGACTCCCACGTAGTCGACTGCGGTTCGTGTCCCGGACCTGGTGGCTTAAAACTCACGCCGGGCACGTGTGCATGCATGCCCTAGATCCTCCGAGGAGAATGGAGGAGAAGGGATTGCGGCGTGGCCATCCCCCCGGGGGGTGATTTCTCGCTTTCTATCTCTCTGTCTCTCTCTGTCTGTCTGGCGAGCGCACGTGCCCTATAGCATAAACCTCTCCCTCCGCCAAAAAAAAGAAAAGAGTCTGCCCAGCAACAGGCCTCCTCGACATGGAGCCGCCCAGCCAGCTCAGGAGAGGGGACCCCCCACTTCCTGCCCTCCTGGCTAGTGTCTGCTATGATCATGCCCTACAAGCTCCTCGTTTAGTCCTTAAGAAGGCAGCACATTGCGGGGCCCCTAATTCCTCCAGGGCTGCATTCAAGTCCTGTTCAGCTTCACATACTCTGAATAATGTTTTCATTCTCCAGGCCCCAGTGTCCTCCCCTGCAGAATAGAGCTGACAAGACCCAGCTCACAGGTTTATGTTGGGCATTGAGGAGAAGGCATGAGCAGTAAGGTTGCAGCCTTACCCCGCAGCATAGAGTCTGAGTAGGCGAGAGTTGCAGAGGTGCTGAGGTGGTGGGGCTGGCGGGGGTGTGGCCACGGTGGGATTGGCGGTGATGATACAGGAGCAGTGATCATTCCCCCCCCCCCCATGCAGGTCCCGCAGGAGTTAGCTCAAGACTGGTGTAAAGAGAAGGATATCCCCTACTTCGAAGTCAGTGCCAAGAATGACATCAACGTGGTACAAGCTTTTGAGATGCTGGCCGGTCGGGCTCTGTCCAGGGTGAGTGGCTGAGAGGGTTCCACTTTCCAGGACTGGCCCTGGCGTGGAGGGTTGGGGCAGGAGCCTCCAGAGAACAGAGGAGTTATGGGCAAGCTGTCGGTGAGACAGCACGGCGCGTCATCTGAGCTCATCGCTAAATGGCTCCACAAAACTCTCGTTCTCCACCTGCAGATGCCAGGCGTAGAAAGCTAGCTTCGAGTGTGTAGTTGGGGGTCCATCAAATCTGGGTGATTATCAAATTCTTTTGTGGAATATCTCAAAAATCCCACCGTGCACTTCGGTCCTGGAGGTTCTAGTCTAGTAAGGGCTTGAGAAGGGATGGTCTCGCCCAGTCCTCACTGGTGGGAGAGATGCTCTGTGGGATCCGACGTGTCCAAACGGGATGGCAAGCTCGTAGCAGGACTCATTGACATCTTCCCACCAAACAGAGGCACGGACGTGAACCCCCTGGTGTGATCATGCACCAAGCACGTTGTCATCAGTGCCAGCCCCAGTGCAGGGCTTGGGGACCCTTGGTTTCATGAGGGAGACAGACAGCATAGGAGTGACTGTCGTACAGGTATTGCTGGGGTGGGGCTGGGCTCTTTCCCCAGAAAAAGCACAAGGACTCACGCCATGGAGGGAAAGGGGAGGTGGAGAACAGGACAGCAAGGAAGACTGCCTGGAAGCAGTAGCAGGGTTTTAATGCCATTTTGGTGTGGAGTTTGGAAGCTAAGAAGAGAGTCCCTGGGGTCAGCCTGTTGTGTGGTGGTGAAGGCAGCTGGATTCCCGCATGGCCAACTGTGCAGTTGGTGTCTCAGACTGAGTGGCTGGAGGATCACGCTGGGCATGTGTGTGTGGTGCCCAAAATCTTGAGAGGAAAACAGAGGAGATGAGATTGTGGCAGGGCCATTGCCTTGGGGATCATGGGAGAGTGCTTTTCTCGTCCTCTGTCTCTCTCCAGTGAGCACACACACCCTATAGCAAAAATAAATAAATAAATAAGATAAGAGAGAGAGAGAGAATTCCTAAGACTGACTGGGGCAGGGCCAGCTTTTTTTGTCTTCCTACTGTGTGTATTCAAGGTGGGCTACCTGGAGGAGAGGAGAAGATTCATTGGGGCAGCGAGTTCCAACTGAGGAAGTGAGTGAAGGAGGAGGAGCAGTCAGAGGCTTCCCCTCTGTGGAAGCACCTGTCATCATTGTGAATGACAGCCCACTGGCCCTGCACTGCCAGCCACCCTGGAAAGAAGCACTGGGGCTGTTCTGTGGTGGGGTGTGGCGGCTGCTGCCTGCAGGGACTGCCATTGCTTCACTCCAGAGCCGGGTCTCGGGGTTTCCCCAGCCCCCACGAGAAACGCAGTCTGGCCTTGTATGGTGATGCGTGACAAATGCTCCTCCGCGCACACGGCTCAGGGACTGCCAAGGGCTTAGTCACAGGGACGCCTCTGCCAGCCCACAGCTCTGCGCATGGTTAGCATCTGTCCTTCCTGCCGAGGGCAATTATGCCCTGCTACTGCACCGGGGCTGAGTTATGTCCTTCCTGCGGTGCCACCGTTATGACGGGGTGCTGCTAGACAGTCGCTTGTCTGCTTGTCTGGGCTTTTGTTTTGTTTTGTTTTGTTTTGTTTTTTAGTCTGTTTTTGCCATGGGGCACATGCACTCATTGGAGAAAGACAGAAATAGAGAGAGGGAATGTCAGAACTCACCTCCTGGGAGGATGGCCCCACTGCAATCCGTTCTCCTTCATTCTCCTCTCAGGATCTTGGGCGTGCACGCACATGCACCTGACATGATTTTCAAGCTACCAGTCTGGGTCTCAAACTGTGGTCCACCATGTGGGAGTCCAGCAACTGTGCTGCGGTGTTAACCACCGGATCTCCTGCTGTCCCCTCTGCCTGGTTTGCTTTTGTTTTGTTTTTGCTTTTGTTTTTGTTTTTGTTTTTGCATTCTTCCATGTCAAAAGAATAAGCTGCACTCCCATGTCAGTCCTCATGTTTTGGGGGAAATGTACTTATCAGAATTCTGAAGTCACAGGTGTCGGATCTGCAGTCAGACTGATCTGGATTCGGGTCCTACCTCTTGCCTGTAGGTAGACTCCTGGGCAAGACACGTGACTTATCTAAACCTCCATTTCCTCATTTATAAATGGAAATAATTCAATGCCGTCAACATTTCTCGAGGCGTCAGGCTAGGGCTGGGGTGCAGACCTCAGTGCATGTGAGGTCAGAGAATGGGATGATCAGGAAGGGGTGAGGTCAACACTGCAAGGGGAGCATGACTAAGCCATGGAGGTGACTCAGAGGCAGTTGGTGGCACGACTGGATGACAATGCCTACCCAGAGAAGTGGTGTCGGAACAGGGTTTTGAAGCAATTTGCAGTTTGCAGGTGGGCATAGTAGGCCATTGTGGGTGTGAGCAGGAGGAAGAAGGGCAGAGAAAAGGGCAAGACCAGAGCCCAGACATGAATCCACGGGCACTCACGCGGGAAACCAGCCGCTGCTGTGTTTGCAAGAGATGGAGGCATACGGGGTGTGGGCCCAGAGTGAGGCGTGAGGCCAGCAGAGTCCATGGCACCAGATCACAGAGGCCTTGTGGGTCCCACCTGGGAGCTCAGACTTCCTGCTGTAGTCCCTGCCCCCGGGCAGTGCTGTTGGGTCACCCAGGGAGCTCAGGGACTTGCCAGGACCGTGAAGTCCAGCAGCGTGCATCTTTCTGCAATGTCTGTATCACTCAGTGGTGTGAAGGAGAGACGTTTGCACATTAAAACAAACATACTTCCGAGGCGCAGAATGTAAAACTCACATGGACTTTTAAGGTGGAATCAATGGTTGCAAATACATATTTTGAGGCCAAAGGAGAGTTTTTAAAGATACTTCCTACAGGAACCATCTCCTCCCTCCCTGGGGCTCAAGTGCTCATTCGTGTCAGCCCAGGAAGAGGAAGGTGGAGAGGACTGCTGTGATGAGGCAGGGAGCCCCGGAGTGGGTGGGGAGAGCTGGGGCTCTGACATCAGACGGATCAGGCTTTAAACCTGGGCTCTACCTCTTACCCATAGCATTAAATCCTGTGCCTAGAGAACTGGATACCACATGGCCAACTGCAGTTCAAATCCCAGCCCATGCCCCAAGACATTTCATTATATATATATAAAAACATTCCAAAATCCAAAAGAATCTGAAATCTGAAATGCTTCTGGCTCCAAACCTTTCAGATAAGAGATACTCAATCTGTATAAAATATAGATAGATAACAAACAAAATTTGAATAGCTCAAAAAATTTTTGTTGAGGGATAGTCAAGGCTGATTAGGGGCAGCTAGTTCTTTGCTGGCCCTGAGACCCTACCAAGACGGGGGTGAGAAATGGGGGCTCTGCAAGAAGCCAAGTCTGTAGTGAAGCACTGAGTCTCAGGTCCCATGGCATGAGCTGCGTCGCCAGGGTCAATGACCGACTGCTCAGCTGGTGTGGTGGCGAGTGACAGGGCATCAGGGGACCTTGTCACATGTGTTGGGTGTGCAGCAGGCAGGGCCTGACACCAGTCGAGATCTAGGGTCGTGTGCACCATGGTTTGGGCATCGTTGACAGCTGGATGCCCAACCTGAGCCTGAAGGTTCTTGGGGAGAGAGTCAGAGAAAAGCACGACCCCTACCTCTGGGCTCCGTGGGGACTGGACGGTTATATCCTCCTGAGGTCGGGGAGGGCTCCCTGGACATGGGGAGGACAGGCTTTCCCAGGGGCCTACCAGAAGAGGAGTTGGGACGTAGACAGACTGAAGAGAAGCTTGGGCTATCACGATGTTCAGGGGAGAGGTTTCCAGAAGAAATGAGGAGCCATCGCCGTCTCTGCCTGAGTGTAAGCATCACCTCAGTCGATCCCTTTGGAGAATGAAAAGGTATAAGAGCTCTCTGGAAGGCTGGAGTCCTGGCCCTGCTGTAGCCATTGAACCACTCTGGGGTCACAGGAGCCAGCTCCCACATGGTAGACTGCAGTTCAAGTCTCAGCCCCTCTGGCCTGAAAAACATGCTAGGCATGTGTGTGTGCCCCAAATCCTAACAAGATGGAGAAATGAGAGAAGGGATCAAGGTGGGACCTTACTCTGTGTGGGGTGCTTTCTCTCTCCTCTCTCTCTCTCTCTTGAGAGCACATACATGTGTCTCTGTGTGTGTGTGTTTATTTGTGTAATTTATTTACATACATTATATATAATATATATTGTATATGTTGTATATCTTATTTTATTTACATATACTATATATAATGTATTATATATTTTATTGTATGTTACATAAATATATTTATATATTATATAAAATAATCTTATTTTATTTATATATATGTATACATACACATCTCTTCTTTTTAAAAAAGTTTATGGAGGGGTAGGCATAATGGCTATGTCGCTGGACTCTCATGCAGTCAACCACAGTTCGAGTCCCGGACCCGGTGGTTTAAACTCACGCCGGGCATGTGTGCGTGCATGCCCAAGATCCCGAGAGGAGAATGGAGGAGAAGGGATTCCGGCGTGGCCATCCCCCCAGGAGGTGATTTCTCACTTTCTGTCTCTCTGTCTCTGTCCGTCTTTCTCATGCGCGCACGCGCCCTGTAGCAAGCCTCTCCAAAAAAAAATTTAAAAAGTTTATAGAAAATGCATATTACGAAAAAATTATACTTAGATGTCAAATTTTTTGTACCAAAATAAACTTACACTCTAATTCATTTTATGCAAATCTTTTTTTAAGGTTTTCGCCATAGGGCATGTGTTCTCGCCAGAGGAAGACAGAGACAGAGAGTGGGAAAGTAAGGAATCACCACCACCCCCCCGTGGGGCATGGCCACACTGCAATCCCTTCTCTGTTCTCCTTTTGGGATTCTGGGCATGCACACACATTTGCCTGGTGTGATTTTCAAGCCACCTCCTGGTCCAGGACTCAAACCGTGGTCCACCAAGCGGAGTCCAGCGCCTTAACCACCATGCTACTTGTTGACCCCAGTCCACAAACGTTTGAAGTCCCCTTGTACAACAGGGAGGAGACAGAAAGCCCAGGCTTCCCAGGCCACTTAGCGAGCAGGTCAGGCAGCACTCCCTTCATGGCAGAACCTGACCCCACTTGTCTTCCCTCCCAGTACCGAAGCATCTTGGAGAACCACCTCACGGACTCCATCAAGCTCTCACCGGATGAGTCAAGGAGTCGATGCTGCTGATTTCCAGATTCCCACGCTGGGCTCGGAGCCTCCACCTGGTCATCCTGGGTTTGGGGCGGGGCAATTTCCCAGCAGCCCCAGTGTCTGCCCATGCTCAGCCCTGACGGCGCAGGCTCTGCAGCAGGAGCCCTGGACCCGCCACTGGCCCAGAATCAGAGGTGGCCCCTGCCTCAGGCTGAGGGTAGCCAGGGCAGAGCTGGGCCCGCAGGGTCTACTTGAAGCCCAGAAGGTCTCAGCCAAAGCCTGGCCCCTTGGGAAAGTCACAATTCCCTCACTGGTTCCAGCTTCCTGCCACCTGTCCACCCCCACGCTCCTGCTCCGGAACACACATACCTGCAGACAGGCCACTAGGGTCTCCAGGGTCCTGTTACAGCCTCCTCAGGGAGACCTTCCTCACCCCCCACCCCTGCCAGCACAGCTGGACAAGGGTGCTCTTACAGCCTCCCCAGAGAGACCTTCCTCACCCTCACCCCTGCCAGCACAGCTGGACAAGGGTGCTGCTCAACCTCCCTCAGAAGCCAGGTCAAGGAACGGGTCTGGGTACCCGTCTCGTCCCTGGTGGAAGCTCTTCAGGCCTGGGACACTCCTGCGCTCCCTCTGGAAAAGCCACCAGGGACTCTGGCTCCCTTCGTCCCTGCTGGGTGCTCAGGCTGTTCACACAGATCTCTGAGTCTCAGTCTGTTCCTCTGTCTAAGGGGGCGACGCAGGCCCTGCTCATCTCCGAGTGTGAATTCCACGACCAGAAGCTGCATGTAAGTCCCTGAGGCTGCTGCTCCTTCCGCGAGCATGTTGGAGGGTCTGCTGTGTACAATGCACGGGGCTCCAGGGACAGACTAAGCAGGCAGGACTCTGCTCTCCTAGAGCCACATCTGGTGGGAGAGGAAACAGACTCAGAATTTAAATAGATACGTTCAAATAGCAGGTAAGTGTGAAGAACAAAGTGATAGAGAGGGGCTGGAAGGAAGTGCTATTTTAGACAAAGTGATCCTGAAGGGCTCCCCTGAGGTGACACTTGGCCTAAGGGCTAGAGCATGAGAAAGCAGCTGCCACCTGAGAACTGGAGGAAGAACATTCCAGAGAAAAGGAGCACAAAGGTCAAGGCCCTGAGGCCAGGACAAGTTTGCCATGTTCTAGGAAAAATAAAGGGACATTGATTTACCTGAGGACTCAAAGCTGCTGTCTCCCAGACAGGGCAAAGGAAGACCCTGCCTCCTTGATATTCTGAAAACTGACCACCAGAGGGCAGCAGTGCTCCTTCCCTTTAGGCTGAGCAGCCGGTGGCTGGCTGCTCCTTGGTCACCAAGAGCTAGTTTCGTCCTGCAGATGGATGCTCACAGTTTGCTCACGGTCTGGGCATGTTCAGCCCTTGCACATTGGTGGAGCAGGAGAATCCCTATATCCTAGACCTGGGAAATGGATCAAACTGCAACGTATGTGATCAGACCAGGAATCAGCATCCGGGACCACCACCAGAATGAGGTGTCTACCGAGCTCATGGAGCTTCAGTCCCTGCAGAGCCTAAGGCCATAATCTACTCCTTCGACTGCAGGCAGCTCTGAGAGGGCCGGACTGGACAAGATGACCCCTCAGGCTCTGCATGGCCATGCCCACGCCCACACAGAGGGCTCCTGATCCACAGAACCATTTCCTGAGTTCCAGGCAGAGTTAGGCAAGTGGTCTCTGTCTGCCCGGTGTCATCTGACTCTGAAGCTAGCCTGGAGATGGCGGAGCCAGCAGAGTTGAGCAGGGTCCTCCCACCCAGCTCTGGCGTAAGGCTGGCAAGAGGGGGTGAGCCTGGACCACAGCTCTGGCCGTGTCCTTCAGAGCTCGCAGAGAGGATCGACGTGCCCTCAAGGGGGTGGCATTTTGCACGTGTTGCAGGCTCTCCTGGGAGTCCGACTGCAGATTGGCCTTCTTGTGCGGGCTTATACAGCAGCTCACGCACTGCCATGAGCATGTGGACTGTTTCTTAATGTGCATGGCAAATAATAAATGTGTCCTTTGTTTTAATCCTTTTTGGTTTTTAGTTTTTAAATTAAAAAAAAAAAAAAAACTACAGGACTGGCTCCCTAGGGCAGTGGTTAAGTGCTGTGCACAGGGAGCCAGATCCCCTGTGCCCCCCAGTTCGAATCCTAGCCCTAGTAGCTTGAAAACATGCCAAGCACTTGTGTGATACACGCCCACACTCCTGATGGGAGGGAGAAATGGAGGAAGCGGGGTCAACGTGTGATCACACTCCATGAGGGAATGCTTTCTTTCTTTCTCTGGAGAGCCCTCTGGTGCCCTCCGGCAATTAAAAAAAATCTACATAGTTCAAACTGCAAAGGATACTGAAGGGCAGAGAAAGATGAAAAGGCCAGGTTTCTTGTCTAAAAATTAAGAATTTCAAGATGGCACAAGAAGGACAGACCCTCCTGAGGGCAGGCCACTCGTCCATGAAGCTGCTCCTGGCTTGGCAGAGGATGACAGTGCCCGGCCAGACCCACCAGGACTCGGACACGACAGTTCAGAGGGGAAGGATTCCGCCTTCCCTAGACCAGAGTCATGCTGTGATTCACCCCTTGACCCCACCACACTTGTGCCTTGTTCAGAGTTGGGAGCCAGGACAGAATGTTCCAAATGGGGGAGAGGCTTGAGGGGTGGGGGGCACCCTTCCGTTCACAGCCGGCCAGCGTGCAGGGTGGAGGGCACCCTTCCATTCACAGCCGGCCAGTGCACAGGGTGGAGGGCACCGTGCTGGCAATCGAGTCCACAAGGACTCTTCCCCGTGGGCCACCCCACCGGAGCTGAGACAGGCCTCAGTGCCACCCGTAGGAGAAGAGGTCGGCAGCTTCAGAGGCTGTGACTCTGGGCAGGGCATGTCCCAAGGCACCCACCGGGGCCTGATGAGGGTTGTGGGGACCCCCTTTGTCACCATTGCTGTAGAGACAGGACCTAGCTGTCCTGTACCCATGGCACTGTCCTGGTGGGCAGCCCCAGGCTACTGCTGAGTAATGGGGTGGCACACGCCCTTGGGCTCAGAAAAAAAAAAAAAAACAAAGCCAAATCTTATCACCAAACAAAGCTGGGCTGGGCCCTGCTTGGATGCCGACCTGCCAGAGGGGCTGGGGGAGGTGCTAGCTAGCCACTGCTCCCGCTTCCCAGAGGCCCCCTGACTGCCCCCCTTCCAGTGGCATGTCCTGTCTACCAGCTGTGGGGATGCCTTCAGCTGTAACCGGCAAACCAGGCCGATGGCAGGCCACCACAGCATGGCCTTGGTCCCAGGAGCCCCCAGTTTGGGGGGGGCGCCGAACAGCCACACCAGCAGTGACCCAAAACTGACCTCTGTGACAATGGTCCATGTCACCTATGGCTCCTCTAGGATGTGTGCTGGGGACACCCAGGCCAGCAGGGGAGTTTAGGTGATGTGGGGCGATGGCCTGAACCAGGATTTGGGGAGGGGGCAAGGGCGCACGTTTGTGGTGTGGTGTGGTGTGGCGTGTGTGCATGTGTAGGCGGGTGTATGGGTGCAGTGCAGAGTATGCAGGGTGTGTGTGGACAGGGCAGTGTAGTACATGTGTTGTGTCTACGGTGTGTGTGCTGTGTGTGGTGTGAGGTGTGTGTATACGTGCACGCAAGTCCCACTCTCCCTCATCACAGACAGAGCAGCGCCTCCACTGGGACGGAAGCGCCACGGGGCGGAGACACTCACTGGCTTCTCTCCCGTCACCTGTGCCCGGACCTGGGCCTGCCGAGACAGGTACTCAGCGTTTGGGGACGGACAGCACCTGCAGCACTCGACCAGAACGGCCTTTCGGAGCACCCTTCGACTGTGGTCTCCCCGCCGGCAGAACCTGCTCAGATCAGCACTTTAACCCAGAGCTCAGCTTCAGCGTGGTTAGACAGAAGGTGATAAATAAGTATTAGAGAATACAATAAAATACCACACAGCTGTTTTGAAAAAGAATGATGACGTGCTCCATGTAATGACATGGAACGGATACCTAAGATGTATCATTATAGGAAAAGACAACGGCAAAATCATGTTTATAACACCAGGTCTGTAACAGGAGCCTTAAATAAGACTTTCTAATCATTTTTTGCTTTTACGTAAAGAAAATCCTAGGCCCAGCCTGTGTAACTTGTCCCATACCAGATCCTGGCGGACTGGGGGAGGGGATTGGGCATGCCAAGCCCTGTGGAGGGTGCCCCTTCCCCTCTCTCTATCATGCTATGTACATGCCCTATTATGAATTTTTTAGAAAAGAAAACTCCAGAAGGATGCATGAGATACTAATAGAAGTGGTTACCTTTCATAGGAGGGACTGGGCAAGTGAGAGTCCCTAGTGGGAACAAGACTTTTCTTCCTACAATGTTACACTCCAATTTCCAACTCTGAATGTACAAGGAAACTTCAAAAAGTTCACAGAAAAATGGAATTCAAATGCCAGTTTCTGTTGGTGTATCCACTGGGTGAATCTGAGAAGCATATAGAAGATGGCCAGTCATGGAAGACAGACCAGATGAGACTGACATCAAGTTCCAAACCACACAGAACTAAATGGTTTATTCTCACACGTGGGATGACAACAGGGCCAACTCCGCGGCACAGTTAGAAAGCTCTGCTCACGAGAAACCAGATCCCACATGGCAATAGCGGTTCAAATCCCCGGTCCACTCAGCCCGGAAACTCGCCAGGCACTTGCACAAGTGCCAAAGATCTGATGGACTGAAGGACTGGAGGGAGGGGAGCGTGGTGTGACCAGAGCATGTGTGTCTCTCACACACACACAAATACTCTATCGTTAATAAAGAGAAAACTTCACAAATAAGAACAGGCGTGAAACAACAAACATAAAATGGAATAATGAGCCCAAAAGTAAGGTAGTGGTCACCTTGAAGTGAAGGAAAGGCAGCGGGATGCAGTCGGGCAAGGCCCCCAAGGTGGCTGACCATGTTGGGAACGGTCTGTTAGTTCTGTTGGGTTGGGGGGGGGGCACTGGGAGTCATTTTATTATTATACTTTATATCAACACATATTCTTTTTTGCGACTCAAATATTCCGATTTCAACACCTAAAGCGCAGGCTTAGCGTTAGAGCCCAGCAGGCCCAGGTAGAGACAATACCTTTTTTCAAAGCCGAGTGACCTCGAGCTTGTCACTTACGCTCTCATCTCACCTTTAAGGTGGGGATGGTGATGTTCACCTGGGAGGGTTCTGGTCATGTAAGCAACATGCCTAGCACATAGGAGTGGTGTGTTGGACTGGGAGCAGTGAGGGGGCATTTGTTTGAAAGCTCTGTGTGAGTGCAGGCATAGGACCCTGGGATCTCAGTCACAGGCCAAGAACGAGACACAAGAGCTAAAGGAGTGAGTGAGCAGGTGAATGAACGGACGTATCAATTCTTTTCCTACCTCCACGTCTTCTCTCCTGAATGACATCTGGGACTCAAATCCTCTGGTTGA